TGTGCGTTATCCTTCTGATCCACTCTCTCAATATATATATATATATATATATATATATATATATATTGAGGGAGAATACGATTTATACTAAGACACCGAAAATTATTTGATTCACTTGACAAACAAACATGAACCGGCAGAAATTTATGAAGATGTCTGTGGTCCATATTATTATTAATTACCAAATGGTATCTCTTACCGTGTTCATCTCCACTACATAAATATGAAATGCGTTTCATAGGCGTATCGGGAGAATCATACTCACTTGAAGACTTGAAGTAGAAATTTAATGGAAGAACAAGACGAAGAGTCCAATAATAGAGCAAAGTCAAGTTATCAAAATAATTGTGGCACGGCTTTACGCTAAAATATCATCTCAAGGGACCATTTTCCTTTCACCTTATCTCCCTTATTTTCTTGGCAAACGGTCTTTTTACTCTGCCTCAGATGTATCAATTAACTACAAATTTAAATTGGTGGTCAAGAGAAAAAAAAAATGTTCTCCGATGGCTTCGAACTATTAAAAAAAAACATGGTGACTATTAAATCTACTCAAAATTTATAATATTAAAAAAATATGTAATATAGATAATTTTTACTGCAGATTAAAAAATTAGCGGTAATTATTATTTTTGATTATTTTTTTCAATCTATCTGAGAAACTCTAAAAATGCAAAATAATAAAAAAATAATAAAAAAAGTGCTCAAGTGGTAAAAGGCTGCGACTGGATGGATACAGAGACATGGCAGAACCAAAAATAGAGTTTCTTTTTTCTTTTTTCAAAAAAATGAAATGAAAAACAGCCGAACAGAGATTTTCCGGTGGATTAAAGATCAAAACGAAAGTGTGCCAGGTCAACACCGAAATACTTATCCAATCTCTTTTCTTTACAGAAAAAAAGAAACTGAAATATACGACAATTTGGTCTCTATAGGACTTGTAGAGTTGTTTTTTTTTTTTTTTTCTAATCGGACTTGTAGAGTTGTTGTTCCATATAATATTCTCACATACAATAATTTATATAAAAAAAAAGAAGATTTAAATATGTCATCTGTGTCCCTAGCGAACAAGGTAGGGGCAAAGAGCCACAATCACAAACATTTATTACAAGCTGGACTTTTCTGGTCTCTCTTTGTTTTTGTCTGTTTGTTTGTTTGTACATGGAAACGAATTCCCATAACTACACCCTACCAAAAAGCCTCCTCCCTCTTCAGAACTTCCGGTGAACTGAAAAACCATAATTCTCTCTAATTCCCATCGTACACGAATTATTATCCGCCAAAAACAAAATTGAAATAATTAAGTAGAAATTCCCACGAAAATATAGGAATTAATTGAAAAGTTCTTCGATTCTTAAATTCAATCTATATACAAGCAGCACAAAAGAGGGGAAATGAAAAGTCATCAATATTACAGATCTACTTGCCAAATCTGGAAACAAATTAAGCAAAAATCATATAAAAGGGCAATAAAATTTCCCAAAGCCAAATCCGAAAGGGAAAGCTAGTAGTAGTAGTAGTAGTAGTACAGATTTGAAGGGAAGAAATTTCTCATCTGCCCCTATTAGTGTAATTCATCTTCTCGTAGAAGCGAATAGAGAGAAGCGAGAGCGAGAGGTTAACCTCGTCTTTTCCCCAGCGCGTCGGCGGTTTGGAGCTTATTATCGGCGGGAACGGTTTCCAAGACGACGACACCGACGACGATGAAGACGACGGCGACGCGACGGAAGAGGAAAAGGAGGAAGATTGGGGCTTGGAGAGAGGCCAAATATAGAGAGAGTGAAGGCGGCGAAAGCCTCCGAGAGCGAGGACCACAGATCTGAGCTGGCTGCTGGCGCAGCCGGTGTTGGCCCAGTGCCTGGTGCAGATCAGCTCCCAGAGGCGCTCGTCCTGCGCCGTCTCGTGCCACTGCTTGCTCACGCACCCCGCCATGGCTAGGGTTTTCGCGTCCACGTGCTTCAACACCTCGAACAGCAGATTGTTGTCCAGATTCATAAATCCGCTCTCCATATCCCGTTCTTCTTGTTCTTGTACTTCTGATTCTGATCCTGATTCTTCCTCCGTCTTCATCTTCTTCATCTTCTTCTTGTCGTCGTCGCCGGGAGAGGCACGCTTCATCGCTGGATCGTGATCTTCTCCGACCAAGAGAGAAATTGATATGAAGATGGGATTGTAATTAAGAGAGTATATATCCTGAGATTAGCAAAAGAGAGGAAACCAAGTTGAGAAGGAAGAGAGACAAGGAGAGAGAAGAAATGGGGGTTGTGGGTGGAGTGGTTAAGGAGGTGTGGACCTGTTTTGATGGTTTTCGAAAACGACAACAAGAGAAATGAATGCACTTTTGGTTCTTTCTTAGCCTCACCAATATGTCCAACCTTTTGTGTGCAATGCTTTTTTTATTTCTTTATTTCTTTATTTCCTTTTTATAAAGGAATATTTTGTGGTAGGATATGCATTTTTCTTCTGCCAGCATCGCAATATTTTAATGATTAGATTTGCGTATGTTACGTTAAAAATATTTAGAGCCCGTTTAGTTCGCTGATTCAAATTTTTAATTTGAGTTGAAATGTGATTTTATGTGAGAGTTTTTTACTGTAGTAAAAAAGTTAGATGTGATTGTTTGTGAGAGCTTTTTACTGTAGCAAAATTCGAATTCTAAACTCGAATCAGCGAAATGAACGAGACCTTAACGTGTGATACAAAATTACTCGTGCTCATTGATGAAAATGTCCACGACATTATCAATATTTTCATGATGTTATCTATATTTTAAAGTCTAAACATGAATAATAGAAGAAATATATTATTTTTAGTATGTCCATAAAATATCTATAATATTTAAAAATATCCATAAAATTTATAAATATCCGTAAGTATTCATAATATTTTTAGATATGTCTACAAAATATCCAAAAATACCCAAAAAAAATTACACAAAAATTAATTTTTGTAGCAAATTCTTTTTCTATTTTTTCAATAAAATGTGACAGCATTATTCAAATTAAAAGCAATAAAAAATATTAAGACTTAATTAGTTTGTTAAATAATTTTTACTTTTTTAATTAATGATTCATATTTAAATATTAGTGAGGAAGATTTTACACATACTACACAAATGAAGATCATAGGTGTAGGGCAGCAAATCCTGGTATTAGAGTAATTGGAAAACAATTTATAAAAAGATGTTGTGTGATTTAAATTAGTCAAAAAACTAATGACTATTTTGTGGTTTTAAGTTTTGATTCCATGAACTTATTAACTAACAAGTTCATATAGTTATAATCATCCATATAATTCTCACATAAGATCTACTTTAGAAGTATAAAACCAAGTTGGATTAACTAACAATATCTAATTTATAGGTTAACGGTGGAAAGAAATCAAGAAGCATATGTATGTGGGCACATCAACAATTATCTCCATAATTATTTAAGGGTACAATGTTAGAAAATGTATTGTTTAGATCAAGATCAGAACCTAGCTAATGCGTTTTTCAACCTGCTAAAAACTCGTTTTGGTACTGAAAGCACTTTAAATCTGTGTATACTCTATTATGTTTGATAATTAATTTTCATGTATTATATATAATTATTGTGCCTTGTTTGTATTATGAATGTAAAATTATATTTGAATCATAATCCGTATATAATTATGATAATTTTTTACTATATTATTTGACATAACTCTCACATTCCGACCAAAATGTATTATTTTTGTTATTAAATTAGTCTAAATTAAGTAATATTGATTGTTTTTAATATTTTCCATGGTTTTAATAAAAAATTAAAATTTTTTTAAGGTATCTATTTTTTTTTTAAATATCTATGGACATCGACATTTTCGTCAATATTATTCGTAAATCAAAATCTCGACAACTCTCTCGGCATCGACATTTTCATTTATGTCATACTCCATATTAGATTGTTAAAAAAACGATTCAATAATTAAAAATAACATTTTTACTTTTCATCGCTTAATGTTTTTAATATCAATATAATTGGTTCCGGTGCGTTTGTTTTGCATACCACTAGAGTCAAATCCTTGGCGCATGTGATAATGGTGTTTCCCTTCAGTTTTACAGTCCCCACTTTTGCCTCTTTCTTTCGAGATTCTGACTTGTTTGGATGCATATCTTGGAAAATCGAAAAATTCTTCCTCTGTATTATGTGAAGTGAGAAATTATAAACTTTTTTTGGGAGGAACAAAGGGAAGAGAAAGCAGATTTGATAGAAGTTACATACTTTTTTTTGGTGACGTTTCAGACTTAAAGAATACAAATGAGGATGGCGATTCTCATAGAGAAAAACGACATTAAAGTAAACAACGATAATAAAAAATAACAAGATCATCATGGAAAAGGAGGGGGAAACGCCAAAAAAAAAAAAAAAAAAAAAAAAAACCCCACTAATAATCTTTAACAGGATAATTACAAGAACTACAATGACTGAAATCGAGGAAAACTGGAAAGGTCAGAAAGGCTGAAAATTCAACCTGACTCCAATAAAACGACAATAATAGCAGAAACGACACCAAATAAAAACTGATAATGCCTCAGAAAACGATATTAACCATGGAAAACTACAAGACATGGAAAAGCAGCGACTTGAAAACGACAAGAAAACATAATACATCATCCGATATAAAATGACGAGTACATAAAATAAAAGAGGGAAGGAGTTTTTTATTCTTTATTTTTTATTAATATTTTTTTAATCAAATAACTATATTAATAAAAAATATATTAATTAAAAAAATGAGTAAAATTTTAGACTCATACATTCAAATGGCAAGTTTAACAATTTTCTCTTCATAAAAATATCCCAAAAAAAGAGTCAAAAGACAATGATATGGAAAACAATTACCACGAGCGATATTCACAGGAAACCAAGAGCGGAGCTCCTTGGGCCTAAGGGGGCAGCTGCCCTAGTGTTTTCAAACGTGCCGTGCCGAGCCGGCACAACACGTCCAACCCCAGGCCTGTGGCGGGCCTGGGCTGGGCCTCAGGGAAGAACCTTAGGCCCAGCCCTAGTCCAGGTCCTTGTCCGTAAGGGCCAGGGCCAGGCCCAGGCCCTTCACGGGCCAGCCCTGGCCCTTTTAATATTTATTGAAATTTTTAATGAATAAAAAGGAAATATATTATATGCTCCTAAAAGATGTGATTTTATTGAATTGAAGTAATACGAATAAGTACACATAAATGACTGGCTCATTAAAAACCTTGTCAAGTAAAACCCGTGAGGAGATTGGCACAAAACCTTAGTGAAGAAAAAAAAAGTACAGTATACAAGGATGAGTAAATTACAAGGAATAAGGATAAGTAAATTACACTGTGCCCGAATTGCTTCCAGAAGGTTCTGTTATGTCTAAGTTTGAAAAATTTTCTTGAAGTGAATCATCTGTATAGTGTTGTTTTCGTCTTCTGGCATCCTCCCAGTATTTGATGCACATTAACCCCTCTAAGATATCTGGGTACATTCTGCTCATTTTCTCGTCAAGAATTCGGTTGCTTGCACTAAATGCTTACTCCAATGCTACCATTGACACTGGAGTTGTCAGAATGTCACGTGCTATCATGGACAGTATTAGAAAATGATATGCCTTGCTCTTCCACCACTGTAATATGTCAAGTTTGTCGTCATCAATTATAAAATTTGATTCAAAATATTTTACTAGTTCTGAAGACGCTTGTGTTGATGAGGATCATGTTGCTTTCTCCTTCCTCTTCAATAAGCTCCACGATAATCGTTTAGGCCCCAACCTGCTCATTGACGTCGAAGTTGTCTGTTCTTACTGCCCTGTTCCGTATCTTTTCTCATACAAAGCAAACAAATTTTCTAACATTTTCCTAGCTTGTTCTATGGTTAGTTGCATATCAATACCTAAATTATATGTTATAGTAGACATCAAACATTCAGTCTCAACTAATCCGCATCTAGGATCTAAAATGGTTGCTAATACATATAACATAGGACAACCGGCCCAATAACTTTTAAGTTTAGCTTCCATTGCATTAACTATAGGTCCAAAAAGATCATTTTCCCTATAAAATAGAAATGTTTCTGAAATATTAAATAGTTGATGCAAAGCTAGATGCGTAGTAGGATAATAAACACCATAAAGTAATTCGGTAGTGTTGTAGAATACTTTTAAAAATTTAAAAAAGTAATCACTAATCTTCCAATCTGTTTCGAAAATTAAATGCTCACCATGCTTGTTGTTCACGTACGAAGTGATGATCTGTTGATACGAAATTACAGTCTTCAACATTAAGTAGGTGGAGTTCCACTTATGTCTCACATTAGTTGGAAACTTTCTTAGGCGCATCTGGCTGTTCTTATAATATTGTTGAAATTCTTGGAGCCGAGCTCCATAAGTATACATGAAAGATAAAGATTCTCTAATTTTTGTTAGATGAGAGGAAATAGATTCAATTCCTGCTTGTACTACTAAATTTATTATGTGACATGCACACCGTTGATAAAAAATTTCATCACCAAAAGGTGGATTCAAATTAGCTTTAAACATGTTAATTGCAACTGTGTTAGCTGACGCATTATCAAAAGTAATTGTTAAAACTTTATCTTTGATCCCATAAAAATTAAAAATTTATATTATATTTGAAAAAAAATAGCATTTGCATTATAAGGAAATGGACATAAATGAAAACTAATTATCCTCTTCTGTTAAACTCAATCCCTGTCAACATAATATGCCGTGACACATAAATATCTAGTTTTATTGCACCCCTCCCAAAGATCAAAAGTAAAAGATATTGTAGCATTGAAAGACCTAAAATTATCAACTAGAGATTGTCTCATTGTATAAAATACTTTCATGCAATCAGATCGAGTTGTGTTTCTACGTACCCATTTAAATTGTGGATAGCAGGCCGTCTGTATGAATTCTTTAAATGCTGAATCATCTGTAAAAGACAAAAGTAATTCGGCACTAGCTAAAAATTAAGCTAGTGCCTCACGAGCACGTTGTGCATCATATGTAAAATTTTGTAAACCTTGTGATGTGAGTGACAATGTTTGTTGGCGGGAGTTCACACTACCACCTTAGTACAACGGTAGACATGCTTTCTAATGTCTATCAAGATGGTCAGTACTCCCACCCTTTTTATTAGAAAAGTATTTTTTATAATATTTACATACCGCACGAATTTCCATGCGGGGAGCACCTCTGTGAAATTTTCCATGCGGGAGCAGTTCGCGGTCTTTTTCCCTTAACACGTTCTCCAACTTCCTCGTTGTGCACCGATTGATTATCAACCGGAACAGTTTTCGTTCCAGTAGGGTTGGAGTTGTGCATCAACATTT